AATTAGCAGAATAATGATAGGTACCTGTGTGCGGCTTTCAAGATTTCAAATTCGGTCACCCCCCGCGGGGGAATTGCCTTGGACGCGCTTCCGTGGTGGTATAACGCCATCATTCGTAGGGTGCTGCGTCGCCGAGATGTGAAAGGACAAGATGCTGCAAGGTCGCGGTCTGGTCACGGTGACTTGTAAGTTGTAAGAGATGCAGCGTGCGAAATTTGACCCTTATTTACTTCCGGCTTTGTCGGCGATTTGTGTTTGGACCGTGACCGCGCACATTTTCGACGGCAGCATTTGGCCAAGCCTGAAAATTCAGAAGAGGCTGGTTATAATCTTATGCACACCGTAATCACGCGAAACTACTGTACGCGTGAAGTTATGAACTGAATTTCGTTTAGAGGGGGCGTTGCATATTCCGAATTGGGAGCCTTGGATTTGACTCATACCAGGTTGATCGTTTTTAGTGTGGCGCGGTATTTCCAAGAACCCCACAGTGAAGACCAGGAATTATGAGAGCTATTAAGGAGTCCCAGCTAGGGCTGCAAAGCTGCAAAGCCACGGCGCAGGTATGCGCGCATTGTAGTGACCGGCGATCCAATGATAGCTGGGATGGTAGAGTGAATGGATAAACATATGGTAAAGCGGAATTATGGTATTGAACACAGAACTGCGCACCGCGACGGCATGGTCACCAGAAGCCACGTTAAATTGTCCTTGGTCCAAATGGGAAGCAATCACTGGCATGCGAAAATGGGCGCAGTCCTTAGGGGCTCTCGTCGAACGTGATATCGAGGTCGATGGTTCCGCGATGCAATTGCTATTGGCCGGACAAAGACGTCGACGCAGCGTCATCAACGAGGGATATTTGTTTGATTTAGTTTATATCATAAGTATAAGAAGGTTGCGTCTCAAATGCTTTATTACCACTAGCGATAGCAGGACGCGCTGAATGAATGCTGTATTCTTCGCCAGTTATTGCCGTACCTTCGAGGAAGCGAACACGGGCATATCGTATGTGACAGAATCCATACCCATCTGGATCTACATCCTGACCTCCCTCAACAGTGTCGTTGGGACAGGAGGGATTCCAAAATAAACCAAGGACGAAAATAAACCAGAATGACGAGGATCATAGGGGCTACAAGGCCCCGATGTATTGCCATCTGGACCATGAATAGCTTTTCCTTTATCGTCGCAATGAATATGCAGATTTAAGCACAAGCTGTCGGCGTTGTCCTTCATGCAGCGTTTCCATGTTCACAATCTGTGTACTGAAGTGATGTATATATACGAAGGCCTCGCCACGATGGTTGAGAAGTCGGACAGGCTCCAATCAGCGCAGAAAAAGAGCTCGAGAATAGTGGCGTCATGGAACTCGATAGAATGACCGCACTGCGGGCTTCCGCACATCGCCATTCGTATTGTTACAGACGAAATGGGTTTAGGTGGTTTTCGGGTCACCCTGCTGACCTGACTCGTGTTACGCTTCCTGGAAGAAGCCTTCGCAGAATATGATTCTAGGGTCTCGGAACCTTAAGCTCAACCAAAATCGTACGTATTGACACAGCGGCCCAAATTGAGGGGGGAAAGCGCCGATAGGAGGTCTCCTAAGATAGCGGTCAAACTTATGTACGTGGATAAATCATCCTGAGCTGGAAACTGCAGGGTTCTAGCTTCAGGCTGGCCGTTGCCGGAGAACTCTATCGTCCGTTTGGGCATGGATGACTGAAGGACATGGTAGAGCCACGTACTGAACATATGTCAGCTTCATCGCTGTTGATCTAAAGTCCGTGATTGAGAAGCACGATCAGCGGACTACGGATCGCCTTATTTACTGAGGATTGGGGAGGGTCAACCGTGGTGAATTCGAGATCATAAAAGGAACTAACGCACAGATCTAAGGCTGTGTCGCAATGCGTTCGTCGTTCGAGGGTGGGATACTCGCAGCAAACCTTCCATGCCTATGCATAAGGAATCTCCCGGAAGGTCTCGTGCCCTCCTCCGCATTGATCTTCCAGTTGGTGGTACCTAGAAAGAACACTGATCTCTGACATGGGAGATCAGCTTGTCGCACAAAGAGTTTGGTAAGTACTGAAGCGAGGTATTTCCATATCCGGTTATCACCCCGCAGACTTCTCTTCAATCGGTGGCCGGAAGAAGCTCCCAGTCCCAAACGCACCGCGTCAAGTCTAGGTGCTAGTGTTGAGAGTCACATAGCCTAAGTACGCCATCCAGGTGCCCATAGCCGTGGTATCGGGACAGCAGTCTGGCAGTAGTGCTTCAGCATTAGCTTATCGGTCAAGCCTCGGGTGTTGTAGACCCTGACGATGTCAGCGAAGATGTGAGTTGTATATTTGGACCTATTGTGCCAGAAGAGACCCTGGATCGTGGGTTGAAGAATGCCTCGTGCCTGGGAGCTCAAATTGATTGAGATTTGGAGACTTTGGGGTTGCGCGATAGTTGAGGATAGTTGCGTCGAAAAGATGGAAAGGATTGAGAGCTCGAGGATAGGCTCCGAGGCTGGACGTTACGAGACTCAATAACCGGCCGAACCGCGTACGAAAGCTCGATAGCTATCAATGATGCGGTATCCTGAGCAGGCCGCGGCCCTGTATGGTGGATCTAGATCATGCGACTAGATCAAGTAACGGAACCCCGACATAGCGTCTCGGCACAGAGCGAAGTGCTGTGACTGCTGGAACATCTTCAGAATCCGAATCAGAGGACAGTGATTGCTGGGGTATGGTTGGTGGTCGCTGGTCTGTGCGTGAGGAGATCGGGGAGACTGGATGCAAGGGGTAAGACTCTTAAATATTAGAGGTGAAATGAATTACGACATGTCAAATTCAAGTCCGCCGGGCACGTGGATATTGGAGTCGCCGCCCTATATATACGAGCCGTCTGACCGATCCACTGCATTTCACCCCTCTCCTTTACTCCAGTCCTTTAACTGCCCCGTATAAAATGGCTAGCAATAACAATCACGATTCCCAGGATTTTGTCAAGCATTCAGATCCAATCACAATAAACACTTCCGCCCGTAGAGCTCGCTCCGTCTCAGTTTCCTCTGGATCTTCAAGCTCTGAGGGTTCATCGCCGGAGCTCAAGACGCCTTCTTCCGGTTCTCATCGAATGAGTTTACCTTCTCCCGGAAGTTCACCCATCTTATCGTATTTCCTGGCTCAATCACCAACGAAGACTCCAGCAACCGCAACGTTTCCATTCAACCGTAAATTTGGTCCACCTCCCGTCTTCGAAGGTGATATCATCTTCTGGTCCTTATCGCAGTAGTAGCTAATATTTTACGTCATAGAGGAGGAAGCTGAAGTCCCAGCCGCCCATCATGCGCGACGCGCGAGTACGACGGTCGCCGGGCGATTCACACAATCACAACCCACTGCTCTCCCTGATCCCCAGTTTGAACGCGGATCAGGTCTTTTGCGGAGGCTCTCCTTAAGTACCGGAGCTTTCGCAAAGGTGAGTCCTTTCTGGCTTATCCTTGTATGCAGGATTCATGCTCACGGTTCTTGTTTCTTAGACGCCCGGCGAAGGACGTCCCTCACCTCCATCCCCTCCCCCTAACACTGCTGTGAGCCCCACCCCAAAATCCATGCCTTTCTCTCGTGATACCAAGCCACGTCGCTCTGCTACAATCAATGAAGGCTCTAAGGCTCGTCGGGCACCCTCACCCATGGGTGAACGGATTCTGAAGGGTCATTTTGACGGCTTCAACTAATCTCTTGGTCTCACTCGGCCAACCTCCGTGCCGTTTTGGACCTCTTGTCAATTCACACACATCTACTTTTCGTTCTCGGCAGGATACCCGCAACCGTTCGTGAAATGTATACAGCAGCTTAATCGCATGGAGGATGTCACATTGAATCGTGCCCTTACTTGCCTCGTCGCTCTGGTCTCCCATCAACCATTGTATCACCATTAATCACGCTCAGACACTGTTTTGGTATATGAGACTGCACCTCGAGGGTGTTGTCCCTCTTGCCCTTGTCGCCAGCCTCCTATAAAGTGTAAAATGTACGTCGCTCTTGTACTGACTAGAGGTGACCCTCCTTGACGCTTTTTCATCCAGACGAAGTGAAATCTGTATACATACATGTATAATATGTGGACTTCTTCTCTGCCATCGTCGCATACATGATTTGTACTTCCAGATTATATATATCCCAAAAAAGAAATTTTGTTCATGTCGTACAACGTGTGGTCCTCTACTATTATACATGCTAAATCTACAGGAAGAATTGGAACGGCTAGGTCTCGTGCTGTGCACCCAGATTGACTACTGGCATCGGACGATTTGCGAAAACGATTTTGCGCTTGATAATGGCCACCATATCCCACTCGACTGTTGCGGTGCCCGTTGTTTCCAGGCATCCCTCATCAGAATCTCCCATTTCCACGTCACCCCCTTCCCCATCGATATCGCTTTCTCCTGCGGTGCTACCAACAGCAGCGGCCGCGGAACTAGAACGGAGTAGAACCGCAAGGGGCTTGGAAAGGTTGGCAATTTTTCCTTCGAGAAGATGGTGCCCAATGAGCAACGTCGGTTTTTTCTGTCAGATTCACATGGACGAAAGAATGCGGCCAATCAGTCACATATGCTTTGGAATGCCATGCAGTGCAGTATATTTTGGGGGCAAAGGGCTCACGGTAGCTGCGTCAACCTTGAGTTTCCCAACCAACTTGCCATCACGTTCACTGACATGGTTGCATTCCACATCTAGCGAGCCTTGCAGTTCGATCAGGACGACTTCGTCATGCGAAATTTTGGCGAGTCCTGGGGGAAGCTTTGGGTTTGAGAAGGAGGTAACGTTTATCGGGATAATCATGTAGATAGATCTTCCGGGGTGGGGAGTGATGTCTAGGAGGGGAGGCGCGCAAGCATGAAGCGAGTTAGAAGTTTGAAAGAAGGGGAACTTGAAGACGCGACGACGCGTTGTTGCCCTTTGTTTGCTGAAGAACAATCTATTGGAAATACTTCAAAAAACAGTCCCGACGGTGGTTCGAACACCGGACCCTGCGATATGAGGTAAGCTGCAATCGCATGCTCTACCACTGAGCTATCGAGACCATGCAACAACGAGGCCGGGAAATCGGAACATAGCACGGCAACAGACATCTCATGCAACAGTCTCCTGGAGATCAAATCATCAACTTGGGAGTGGATCAGCCCTTCGTTTCTAGTGGTAGTAATAATACATAGGAACATCCAGCTACATAATATATCAAAGTGAGGGATATTCCATCTAGCCTATACGCCACAGCCTGCATGAGTTCCATTTAGTTGGTGCCTTCGTGACTCAGGTGTCGGAAAGTTTCCGAATTCCCAACTATAGCATTCCTGATGACACAGTCAGACTATCGAATATTCGAGATCGTTTGTGAGATATAACATACCACACAATCATCCTCTGGTTTAGGCTCAGGCACCTCTCTGCCGATCTCCACGCTGGGCTTCCAGGGTTCGGAGAGCAGCTTTTCGATGACATTGATAATTCCATGCGTACGGATGTCCACCGACCATGATAGATTCGAAACTGTGTCATAGAAGATTGTTTTGCCAAGATGGCACCTGCGGATATAACGAACCTAAGAACTTGTTTGGGTAACTATAGGTAATCACTGACCGGGCCTCCATCGCGTACCCAGCGATGGCGCAAGAGGATAACACACCGTTGCATGTCCCCATAGCAATTGGGTCAGCAGAATGATATATATGGGTTACATGATGGGTTGAAGGCTGAGAGGTAACATATGAGCAACGCTGAAGGCGTAGCAAACTCGAGGAACTAACCGGAGAAGGAAGATGTAGGCGGCGGGATGCCATTCGCTCTCCCGGAGCCTCGAACGCCACCGCTGGGACACCAAAGGTTACACCGAGGAGACTAGCAAGGGCCCCTCCCAAGGAATGGCCAATGACCCACATAGTTGAATCAGGGCTGTGGAAGCGGAAAAGTGACTTGTAAGCGTATGATTCAACACAGAGGAGGGAACAGACACTCAACTACATATATGTCAAGTTATTATATAAATTCTGTTGGCTCGAGTTGGTAAAACCGTAAGGCTGGATTTGTTATCTTACTTACTGTTCCAATAGGATAGAATAGACTATCGTCGATCAGCGCATGCTCTAAACAGTCTTGGTCGCACTTCCATCCTCCCCGATAGCAACCGCAGACTGTCTTCCATGTCCAATCGATATGTGCGCAGCAGCAGCTAAACAGCAAGTTATCGTTGAATTTATCCTTCCTGACAGTTGGGCCTCCACCACCAAACATCCCGGCAGAAGTTCCCTTGATCGATAGGACTACTGTTTTGTTATCTGGGGTGGCAAAGACCTGTCCTCGAAAGCCGTCCGCATCTGGTTCCCACCCAAATGGATAAGTCTAGGTGGTGGTTCAGCGACAGTCAGATAGGGAATGACTGTGAGATGACTACTCACATTATTCCATCCTCCGCCGAGGTCATACCAGTATGGATCACCCGGCGTAACGTAGGCATTGTTCGTCATCTTCGCGAGCTCTAAGAGTGTTTCTCTGCTCTCTACGTCGGGGGCAATTATCTCCTCCTCATCCCATTGCAGCTGCTCGCTCTGGCCGTATCTCATGGAACGCGTCCGGGCATGGTTGAATGCGTCGAAGGACGGAGGCCTGAATGACGAAATTCGCCGGGTTCGGATAGAATAACTGTTATCTAGGTGGCTCTGGCCATTAGACAAGGTATACGAAGTTTGTGGTGGGACATCGGAGAATACAACATGCGCAGCCCCGGAGACTGCATGAAGGTGCCTCAGCTCGAATTGAAGCCTTTCTGGGGTCGGGCTGGGTCCGTCTAGCCTACTGGAGGTGAAGAGATTTAGTAGAGGGACGAGGATACTCGTCAATGAGGACGGCAGCATGAGGCATAACCGGGACGAGCACACGGTCGTCAACGAGGTGGTTGACCAAATCAAGCCGGACAACGAAGATTCAACGTCAACGTTTGTGATGATGACGTACGTCACAAAAAATTGACTTGGATGCAACATCTACTAATTATACTACAATGAAAACTATGGTGATACAGAATAAAGAGATGCGTGGATTGTCTAAAGTGATGCCAAAAAAGTCGTTTGGACCGATGAGTAGTGTAGAGTATTACCGAAATATCAGTGGGACACAAATTACTAGTCCACCATTTCGAATTACTTGATATACTTCAAGTCTGAGAGATGCTGAGATTCTCCATTGCAAGGCCAAGGGGGTCGTTCGCAGGCAGGTCGGCGTTAAGCATAGGTGCTTGCAGATAGGCCGCCGAACCAAAGAACACTTCAGGGCTGGTACAAGCAGAGACCGCGCGGCGCATGTGGGTAGTCAGGAACGACAGCCCGACCTGATAGGCAGCTGGAAGGAAGTCAAGTGAGATGGAGACGTGGAGTAGTGAAATAAGGCCACGTACCGTTCATCCAGCCAAAGCCTTCGCGAGGAACCATCTTGAAGTCAATACCCTGATTGCCGTATTCCGCATCGACCAGGTGGGAGAGTTTGACGGCATCGAACTACGTCGAGGCACCTGTTAGATAGCCGAATAATGAATTTCGGAGGGCTCACCTTCTCGGGAACAACACCATTGAAGTCGACGAAGGCTGTTGTCATCCTGAAACTTTTGGTAAGTGACGTTCTTCTAATAAGATGAAGAGGTAGATTCACATGTAGAGGAACCTATACGAAAGGCGCTGTGCTTCGTCGAGGTAGCCATAACGTTCCAATCCGACCCAGGCCATGATCTGATGTGGAGGCCTGTACAGCCTGGTGAGTGATGCTGCATCGAATGTGACTAATAACGAAAGCATACCATGCATATCTATCGATTCATAGATGAGAATTTTTTCAATAAAGAGAACGTGAGACGACTTACGGATAATCCCACTGACGATTGGGGCGCTCCAGCGAGATTTTCCCGCGAGATTCTTCAGTCCCTGATACAAGTCCACCAAGAACTTCAAATTTCCGCAGTGACTGGGTCCTATAGGATATCCACGATATTATGAGCATCTCTGCAGTTCCAAACCAGCTGAACAGAAAAAAATGACTTACACAAGTTTCCAGGACTGTTCCTCGCTCGCACAACCGGCCCACAGCGGCCAGAACGACGTGACACTCTCATAGAGAATCTGCTTTTCCTGCTCGGTGTCGTAGTCGAAGTAGAGGTTTTTGCTTTCATTCCACAAATACTTGTCGATCATCTCCTTCCTCCACTCCGCCCTCTCAAACCATTCATCACTGCATTGAGGGCGGCTCTTAGCCTTCTCCCTGTAAGGATTGGCGTAAGACGCAACGGAGGGTGGGAACGGTGCCAAATCGAAGTCTTCTTCGAGATCGAGCTCGTCGTCAAACACTTCTCGGATAGCAGTCCCGATATCGACCTCGTACTTGTAGAGCAAGGACTGCAAGTCAATCGTGCCGAGATTCGCACAACGTTTCTCGAATCTGTATGTGGTATCGTGGCCCGATTCACGCACAGCACGATCGTGCAGGAAATATTCGTCGAGTTTAGGCTCTTTGATGAGGCCATTGTTGTACTTCTCGCTGAACTCGAGGACCGAGATCCCGTGCTTACGTGCAAACGGCTCGAGTATCTGTGTGAAGTGGGTGGCTTCAGTCTCTGGAGGAATGCCAAGGCCGTCGGGACGGTAGCGGGAGAGGCCAGTCTTGGGGTCCATCCGAGGCTCTGCGACCCAGATGGTGTGGTATTCTTTGATGGCAGCCTGGATGGCGCGCTTCAGCCATTGCCGATTCTCTTCCATATCGGAGCGGTCAAGCTGGTTGTAGATCTGGAGCGCCATGTCAGTGAGGAACGGAGGTTGGGTGCGACAGAGGTAGTAGCTGCGGCTTCCGTTGAGGATCTTGCCATAATGTTTGATTTCGAAGATGAAATGGTCGACCATGCCTTTCGCCATGGTGACTTGGCCGTCTACAAGGAGGCCCAGGGCGATGAAGTAGGAATCCCAGTTGTACAACTAGAGGGTACGGTTCAGCATTCAACGTCACCGGATGTGAGTGACGATCAGCGAACCTCGTTGAATCGTGCACCGGGAACAATGAATGGGATACCCTTGAGGGTCTTGCCGCCCTTTCCATCATCGACCTCATTCATCGCCAAAGCCAAAATACCCGGCTTCGAGTTCAAGCTCTTTACGAACACAGGGTCGTCAGGCTTCACAGGCAGAACCACAACGTCCAGATTCATATGAGGCTTCTCCCTCGCAACCTTCCTGTAGTACTCTGCCATGGCCGGCTCGCCGTGGGGTACGTAAATGCGAGGATTCACGCGACCCGTCCGGTTCTTCGGGTCGGCGGTAATGATCTCGAGCCCTTCGCCGTCGATGCGGCGTGTTAGCGAGTGCCAGAAGGAGTTCTTGATCATACGCGACAAGCGATCTACCGGGTTCTCCGTGAGACGCGCTTCGTCGAGCACGATGCGTTTCCTGTTATGATCGCGGGCGAGCGCCAGTTCCTGGAGCAAGTTCGACAGCATGTAGGTACCCTGGGTATTTGCGTCAGGTAAACATAAGGATACGGGTTTATGGACAGCGGAAGTACGCACCCGGATGTCAAAGGTCTTGAAACCATTGCTGGTCGCAGTGCCCAGCGCCATCATCTTAGGCCCAGCGTCGGTGATACTGATTTGGAAATCACCATCGGTGTCCTCTTGCTCAAGAACGACGCGAATGGTTTCTTCTACATCGATCAGGAAGCGTCTCGGGCCAGTGACGCTCTTCTCGTCGTGCGACAATCTTCGTGGCCTCAGATGCCAATCTTCCTGAAAGGCTGGCAGGGTCTTTGGATTGTATCCATGGATATGGGACTAGGTGGAATATCAGCCCAAGTCGCATACGGGACGAAGAACGCCAGCAAGCTTACCGCGCTGTATGTCCGTGAACGAGTATATGACTCGCCTCCTCCGTAGTAGATGGCCGCGTCGACATTGACGGGTCCCTCATTGACGAACGTTACGCCGGTGGGGTGATTCAAGGCGGGTGCCATGGTTGGGGCGCGGGGTTAACGAATGGATTTGTTGGTGTGGAGTGA